AGTTCAATGAGTTTATATGTACACATTGCAGACACACAATAATGAGCTGTTATGTCGCAAGCAGCTGGATTAATTTGAAACTTGAAGATATTAAAAAATCAGTTTTTAAATCAAATTAACAAAATATGTCAACTTTAAGGCAATTACAATATTTTGTATACTATACAAACACATACCATTTTTATTTTTTCCTGACTTTGTAGCTCGTCTTGGTGAATTAACCATCTTTTCTTTCTTAAGTTTCTTTGATGGATCTAAAAAAAAATGAAATAATAAAATCCTGTGGGTCAGTTAAACAGTATATGCTTGCGCGTAATCTGTCATTATTTTTTTACTGCTGCTGAGCCAGTCTACTCAATTCCTAGTGTGGTCCACATGATAAAATAAAATGTGTGATGCAAATGTGATAAATGCACAATCTGAAAGTGATAGTACCTCCTGTAAATGTGCGTATATTTGTGACAATTTGAATAAAAGTTGTATTTACTGTATGCTCAGGTAACCAGTCACACCAAGATAGAGAAATGTGTTTATTACTGTACTTATCTGGGTAAGAGCCCATGCCTGGGCAAACGCCCCCCCCCCCCTTTTGACACATTAAAAAAGTTGAGGTCATATTCGGGCACATGCCCAGGGGGTCTTTTTCTACAAAAAAAATATAAAAAAAACTATGTCCTATTCGTTGACTGTGGTTGTATTAACAGTTGACTTTCTTGAAGTCTGTTGTGATACTTATAAAAATTTTTAATTGCGTAAAACAGGGGGTGAATGCAAAATAGCTGCGACAGCTTTCTGCCTTCAAGCAAATCATATAAGGAGCCTGAGAGCCGCTAAGCAAGTGTCGCACTCGTTCGGCTTTAGCGTAGTCGACAATGAAACCAATGTTGCAATATTGTAGCAACCCGTACCTGGGAGAGTGGTTGAAATCACGTTATTTTGGCTTTATAAAATATTTTGTAGCAGCTTGCGAATTCATAACTGGGGCCAGCAATTTTGCAATGTCACGTCGAAAACTGCCAACTTTTTTACCATCTTTCATCACCGGTATTGCATTTCTGTCATGAAAACTATTCTTCTGTCGTTGGATAAAAAAAACTTCCTATTTCAAGTCCATCGCGATATCCATATAGTGAGACATTCCAATCACTGGAACTTGCTGAATGATAACCTACACCGTGATTGATAAGCATCGAGTTTGATAAGGAAGCAATGTCACGATTTGACCTTTATGATGAAATACTACCGTAAAATCTGTATTAGAAGCCGCATCCCTAATAGAAGTCGCACACACTCTTTTAAAATAATTGAGAACAAAAAATTCCTCATTTCTCATATGTGTAGATGCTCTAATAGAAGCCGCATTTCCCTCTGTTGCATTGTACCATTTCAATAGAAGATGCAGCTTCTAATACAGATTTTACAGTAGTAGTGATGTCATTCTTAGCCAATCAGTAAAGCAGATGCATAAAGGTCAAAGATGATTGTTAGACTGTAAACAAAAGCATCGTGTGCCACCGCAACAGAGCGACCCCATTTTTCTTGTTTCTTTAATATGATTAGACATGAATGAAAAGTGCCAAGCTGACAGACTGCGAAAATCCGTGGATTAAAAGTTCTATTAAAATCCAAATTGTGTTGGAATAAGTTGTAGCGATTTTGTTCGACTGCTACAATGACGCCGACTTGGACTTTGAGGGTTTTGAGTTTGACGAAGATGGCAATGAACGTACAAATAAAGATCTGAGAAGTTTTTTTCAAACAGCTATGAATTTTTATAATTTTTACTGTGTAAATTTGTAAATTATTATTGATCTTGTATGACAGTTGATTCGTAATTTGTCGAGACCGGAAATCATTTTACGCAGTTTAACCCCTGACATTTTAATTCATTTTGAGTTTACGCGTATTGTTTGTCGGCGGGAAAATCCTAATTCAAATGATTCCTTACTGTCGATTTTTATTATTTCTGGTTTATTTGTCACATTATAAGCAATACATTATTTTTGTTTTACTTCTAGTGTTGCATATTGTTCATTTATTTTCGTTGCATGTTTTCATTTGCCGTTCTATTCCCTGCCGCAGTTCGATCTGCGTGTTGTCAATTTTCGCGAATTTTCGTTTTTTTGCCGGGAATCTCCTGGCAAACGCCCACCCCTTCTTTTTGGCAATTTTCCTTGTTTAGGACCCTGGGCTTATACCCGAATAAATACGGTAACAAATTCTAGAATTTAATCAACATGCATTGCAATATTGTGCATGCAGACCGAAGGTACATTGTAAGTACTAACTACACCCTCTGTACATGCTTACTTACATTAATGACATCATTACTTGCATACTCTCATATAAACCAACATAACTATTTATAATAACATAAAAACACTTACAATTTTTTTTGTCATTTAACGGCCAATCTGTCTCTTCATTTTCATCATCATTTTCGCTATCAACTTTACCACTATTGGCTATAAGTCTGAAAAGTCAACAGTGAAAAATGGATATTCTGAGCATTTTTTTTCCCCAAAGTCATTCTTTTTTTCCTGGCCGACGTCCCACAGCATACGAGGAAACTAGATGACTACTTATTGTCCTCAAGGCTATTCAACAGGTGTACAGTATTTGTTTATTACAAGTGCATCCTTAATAGAGGCACATGAAAGCCAAAATGTGTTTTGGCCAGATTTTATGTAAACCAACTCACACTATTTACACAAACCAGCTTAACACTTTGTCTGCTGACACTGTTATACACTAGCGGAGAAGACTTTCAACAGGCAATGTATTACTGTAAAAGAATTAATTATTCACTGGGTTTTAATTTTGCTTATTTCGCTGACTTGAAAATGTGCTAAAATAAAACCCAGTGAATATGTAAAATTGAGTATAGAACACATTATCTGAATGATAAAACAATGATTTTAAAACTCACTAAATACATGCATGCCTAAAATGGTAAATCAGCAAAATTTAAACCCAGTGAAAATTAGTCATTTTATAGTAATAGGTCAAATACAGTACGAATACACTGTATATTCAACACAATTGTATTTAAAACATAGTTGCCTATGATAAGGGTTTATACTGCTTGTCTTATGGAAGGACAAATGAAAACAGAATTGAAAGCTTGTTGTGTGTTGGATTAATACATTGCATATGCTGTAACTGAACGCTATTGATTACATGAAGTAATATATTTGCATGAAACTTATGACATTAAGGGAAAGTGTACACATACCTTCTATTAGCTATTCTACTGCTATTGCGCCCCATTCCCATACATTTTTCTAGATGTGGTGCAAATCGGGATGCTGTTAGTGTCCTATTACAATTAGGACATATACACTCCACTGGTTTCTTTAAAGGCACTTGACCGAATACATCAAGACCAGTTTTCTCAACGATTTCTGTATGTGTAAAACACACCAGTTAAATGGGAATACATTCTACAGTCCCTTAAAAATTACAAAATCTAAGTGTTATTGAAACTTTACAATACAATACAATAATGGTAAGCGTTTTGCTTGTGGGAGTTGGAAGAAAGATGCGAATTCCTGCAATCAATCATGTGACAAAAATGCTGTATATCATTTTTGTAATTAGGTAATTTAAGAGTATGAGAAGAACTTCTAAAAATCACTGAATTCATGACTTAAGAATCAACGTTCACTACTCCAAAATTTTACTGACTCAATGTATTTGTCATTAAATTTGTCGCCCCCTTGAAAAAATGTTTCAAGATGAAACCCTTTGTGTCAGCAAAATTTGCCCCACAAAATGTAGAAAATAGCATTTCAGAGGGTCTAGATTTTAAAGGGGGCAGCCCCCTCAGTAAGGTCGTGCCTTTGCGATGGTGAGCAGAGACCAGCCCCCCCACCCCAATGCAAAATTTCTTGCTGCCACCACCTCTAATAATATATAAAAACTTTCTACTTTGTCCGGTCCCACTTACCATATTGTTTCATTGTTCTTCACACATGACCAGACATAGAAATAAAAGAAATAGAATGTAATTAGCAAATGCACATGCACATGCTATATATAGTATATAGTAATTCATTTTTTTTTCAGGAAATAAAAGTTTAATATCTTCATTCATTGTACAGTTCAAACAAGTGACATAAAATAAGCAAGTTTTGGTAAATTGCTAGCAGTCTTTAGATCACTTTGAAGGATGAGAAAATATCAACCTAGTATTACCAACTCTGGTTTTTCTCAAAAAATTTGTAAAAAGACTGTGACACTTTGAGCAGAGGAGTCCTAATTAAAGTAGAATGTGTCTGATTAACAAGACTATCATTTCAACATAACTTACTCTTCATCGACATCATCATGGAAAAATGAACCAGTTTTACAAGATCGATGGAATTCAAAACATAATCCAAGAGTCAAATCATCAATTAGTTCAAAGAATACAGCCTCCTGAAATATAGAAATAAATACATGATAGTTCCCAATCATTACAAAGTAGGTGTGTGAGATTTCCCATGGTGCATTTCACTTACATGCATGCCCAAGTTTCCTTTTGTTTTTTACACCATTCATAAAGGCATAGAATTTTTTTCATATAAATATTTAAAATGTTTTATAAATCCAAATAGTTGGTTTTAATAAAAAAATGATAAAATAACACATAAATCATTTAATCATTGTAGGAAACCTGCAAAGACTCGTGGGTAATTAATGACCATTATTGCATACATGTATGTGATATGGTATTCATAGTACATGCTTGTTCAATAATAATAGTATTTGCTGCAAAAATATACAGATAAAATAGTCCCTTCAACTTTAATTGCCATGGTGCATTTTGACTTTTCATTTATATTGTTTTAATGTTATGGTTACGCATATTTGAATGATAAAACCCCAAGAATCAGAGAACAGGGGAGCAGCGCCCTCATGCCATGCTCATGAGTCCCCTCACCCTGGGGAGCTGATCCTCTGGCAACCATAAATTCTGATTGACCAGGGATCACATGTGGCCACAGTCTTCAACTGTGACGTGTCTGATAGTAGTTTTTGCCCCAAGGAAGCTATAGAATGCTCCATTTTAACTTAGAATTATCAAAAACTCCACACCCTAGTAGGGAGAACCCTATCTACCCCACTTGGTGGCACCGCTGAATTGCAGTGCTCCCTCTTGCAGTTTTTTTCTAGAAAAATCCCTGTCGCACAAACAAGATTATCAAAAGCCATGAAATGAAGGGTAATAAGATCAGTATTTTCACAGGAAATGATGCAAATATGTCGTGTTCACAATTGGGTGCTTGCATTTGGGTAATGTTTTTAATGCCAAACTACGCATAACTTGTGTTTGTTTTCTCTAGAAATTTTTCTTTTTCATTGCTAACTCAACGACGTGTGCGTGTCTGCCAACATTTGCATATGCATAGTAAGGGAAGCCACATTAACCAAAGTATTGGATGAAGTGGTTGTGACGTACTTTCTTAGTGGTTTTTGTAAAGTCTGGGAACATAATTATGTAATAATAACAGAATATATCATAGCTGATTTACACAGAACACGTCATCCTTATAGCGGGGTTACAAGTGAGGTCAATTCACTCAAGACCATACTATAAATTGTAACCAGTCTTCTAAATGAATGAATCATTTAGAATATTGATATATTACTGTAACAGTAAATTTATGCAATTATTTTTTTTTTACAATAATGTATTGGTGACATGTGAAAGCGCAGGATATTTTTAAAAATTTTATTTATTTGTTTTCTACATAAAAATTTGGAATCACTGTACAAAGCCTGCAGCCCTTTCAGCTATCTTTACCCTGGGTTGTTCACAGGACGCCTCATGCTTACAGGCTTTAGAATAGACCATTTTCCGTTCACTGCGAGAATCACGCGTTATGCGTGAAATCGAACGTAAAAACAGGACAAACAAAGGTCATAGCGTCGTAGTCGCGTCAAACTTCACGTGGGATTCGACAAGCGCGAATGTATTTCGGGGACATTTCCATGCTTAATAATGTGCTGTCCACATTTGATGATAGGCAATTTCGATTAAGTAAGGGTATTCGGAAGCAATATTCCACTGTCGAAGATCGGCCGGTTAATGTAAGCTACGAAATAAAGAAATTCTAGTTCAAAATCAAATCGTTCGATTTTTGCGGCAGACGTTCGACGCACGTCTTTCATGCATCTCGCGAGATCTCGCAAATGTACGGAAAATCACCTATTGTTGTTGGTCTAAATGATATTTTGGATAGAGTAGTAAAACTTTATCTTCAATCTTTGAAATTTATAAATATTTATAAAGTTGGAAAAAATGCTTTTGTTGTGCTGAGAGTACTAGTATTATAATTTATTTTCAGGTAGTTTATTAGTTTGTTCTTATCATTATTTATAGTTGCTCTTACTGGGCTCTCTGATGTGATAATCAAAAGTTCAAATAATGTCCATTTTGTTTGACGAATCTGAATTTAAGAAAACAAACAAATACATGCTCAGTGATGGCAATGCGAACATGCATTTGCCAGCATTTTATTTTGTTCAATTGGATTTACACACTTATTAGGCAGACCTTTCACAAACATATTTCTGCTATTATTATCCATAAACTGTGCGAGCATGGAGCAAAGTGAACAACGTACCGTCTGACACGACAAAAGCTTTATAGAAAAAATGCAGTGAATTTGGGTTAAAATGTCTTAAACCAGTTGGTTACATGCAAACTAGAAAGCAATGACATAGTCGTACAACTTCTGCCAAGTAAATGTCATAAGAAGACGACATTCTGTCATTGTCAAGTACTTTGACAATGGAATTGCTCGCACAGCTGAATGAATGTCACTCGCCGCCGACTGGGTGCTCACTCACCTGTAGTTCGGCGTCGTTTTCTAGGCTACTGCCGACCAAACTTGTCATTTTCTCGGGAATCGTTCAGAATTTATTATACTAATCTTGAAAATCGAAATGCACAGATTCAGACGGTTCATTCTCACCCGTTCCGTTTTTGTTTTGTTTTGCTTTGCCTTCTCGCGAATGAGGTCAAGCTGTATGTTTGTTATTTAATTTCTCTGAAGATGCGCCCTCTCAGGTTCAACTATTTGCTTCTTCATAGAATTCTGTTATAACTTAGTGTATATATATAGAGAGGGGTGGGTGATTGTGAGGATGTGATGAGGGAAAGCTCCGAATAACCAAATTGTTATTGCGTTAATTTGAGCGTATTCTTAAATCTATAACTGTGCTTTTGGTGTGCTCCCGTATTACAGTTTGACGCCGGGGTCACTGGTTTAAAATGTGATACAAATGTGAAAAGTATTTCGCAGTGAGCGAATCTTGACTCATTTCTCAAGTTCTCCACCTCAGTTGCGATTTTTCTCCCTTGTGCGAATATTTATTTGTTCGCATGGACCCCTTTCTTCTTCATCTAGGAAGCGAACAAGTGGAACATCGCAACTCAAATATGATAGCGGCGAAAATATAGCCCTCCATGATGCTGGTTCAGACATCTAATCAATTACGCCTTCAAACCTCGTCAAATCGGACTGCTCGTCTGCCCAGCAGGCAAACCTACCAACGAGTTAATTAATTGATTCGCTTGTTAGACAAGTAGTCTTGTTGGATAAGGTTCGAGAGCAACTGGTTTTTACATCTGAACTAGCAAGTGGTGAGCGGCAATGGATGAAAGTTTATCGCGACGGTCCACATCATCACTGGCGAAAAAAGGTACCTGCGAACAAATAAAGATACATGGATATATATATGGATATAAGTTTGGAGAGGTTATTCATAATTTATTCATTGAATATTGACATGTTTTGTAGTAAAAACATCACAAGGCACATTTTAACTCAATTTATAAAGTGCACAAAAACAGCACAGCGAAGAGATTAGTCAAAACATACAACTTTAATGAATAGCTTAACTTTCTCTAATGTATGGAGTACATGTATGAGAAAGGATACCTCAAAACATGAACCACTTGAAGATAAAGTAATGTTCTGTAGCATAATGATATTTATTTCGCGGGCCTTTGATAAAGTATGAAGGAATGTACTTGTATATTATTAAACTAATGAATATTAATACCTGTTGAAAGATATATGAAGTAACTATTCATTTTTTTACTTAACGCCCTCTAGCGACACTGTGCTTTAGTGACGTAGACACTATGTAGTTGGACGATTCTCAGACTACAATAATAATATCGTTCATGAAGGCATGTTTGAACTACGTTGACGGTCATTTAGAGTCTGGTACACCTATAAAGATATAATTTCTTTCATTCACGGATATCTTCAAATCAGGCGAAACAAACCGGGGTGTAACGTCTTTCATTTTACCCATCAATTGTACATGACCGCTTCGACACTAGAGGGCGCGACATTAGGTGACCAGTGTAAAATAGAATCTACTCAGCGATTCGATATTAATAGAATGTGTGATGAGTTCAACTCTATTTTACCATATGTAAATTCTTATTAAAATCACAAAATTATGGAATCTACTTCGCTTCCTAGTATCTGGAGTTTTGTAATTTCGCAGTTTTTGTAGACATCACGAACTTGTGAATAAATATCACATCATAATATCACATATTCGCTGTAAAGTGATCTAATAAAACAATTTGAGCCTAGTATGCACACAGTCACACACGACTACTGCTAAGGGTTGTGCAGCAGGCAACATGCTTATTGACGCATATAAAGACATATGTACACGAACTTTTGCCTTAGATCTGACAGAAGTATAGACATAACACACAGCCCAATGTAAAGCTCACACTATGTACAATCAAACTACTGGTGATTACTGATAAAGACACGTGACTAGATATAGATTATTTAAGCAATAACCCCCGCCG